GCCTTGGCCTCCCAAAATGCTGGGATGACAGGCGTGAGCCACCACCCCCAGCCTAAATTTGTACAATTTTAATTTGTCAGTTATACCTCAATGAAGCTGGACAAAATGAAACAAAAGCCCACCTCCCATTCCATAGTTTGCTTGCCAGCCAAAAGCTGCCTAGAGAAGGCCTCTGCTTCACTTCCTCCTCCCTAATTTTGCACAGGTGACTTTAGTTGGTTCACATCCTGATCTCTAGCTGCAAAGTGTGGAGCCTGAAAAATGTAGTGTTTAACTTTCTGTCCTCTCCAACTAGGAGGCAGATGACGTAAGATTAAACAAGCCAGTCCCTAGTCCGCCTCACCTCGTGCTTGTCTGTGGTGAATACTGCAGGGGCCTCTCCTTCCAGGTGTGTTGGTATTGGCCAGTGTTGAGGATTCCATATGCAATATAAATAAGACTCTCTGCTAAACACTGAATCCAACTGTCAATATTTTCCAAGCTTATCTCCAGTACATTACTGTGTGCTTTGTAACAGGGTAACTTTTATTATCAGTCAACATTGTGATGACCACCTCTGATATCTGTAAAATAAACAAAGTGGGCTCCAATCACTGACAGGCAGATTTTGGTTTGTTTATATTTGAAGAAAATAATGAGTCTGTATTTCTATTGAATGCATAATTTTTTTATGGTTCATATCATTACATAAAAAGACTGGGCTAGTTGCATTATTTATGTAAAAATACATTCTCGATGTTGGATATGAACAGCAATTTTAGCATACTCTTCACTATAAAAATATGCAGGGGTGGATGTTAAGTATAGGTAAATAGCAAGGAAAGCACAAACCGGCATCAGCACTGGTTTTACCAGTCCGATTTCTCAGGAGTGCAGAATTACCCATTTGTTGCAGCTCTATGTTGAGCATGTTACTGTGAAAGTTAATCAGTTTCTTTAACCATTAGCTGATAAAGCAGCAGGGAATTAAGCTAGCCTAATTAGTTTGGGAACTAAATCAGACAGAACAAACAGAGCACGGGGTAGCAAATGGATGTTTGGTGGCCTCATTGGAAGAAATAGGTTACCTTTGATATTATGGTAATTCCATTCCTGAGAAGTGCCCTTTCCTGATAAAAACTGAAATTGGCAGATCAGTGTCTATCTGAAAATTGGGAGTTGGGATAAAATAAAGTAGCACATACACATCTAATCCTACTTTATACATACATACATATACTATAAAATGTATGTAGTAAATGCTCCAAAGATATCTGCTTCCAAAAGACTATATTCCTTGGCACTTCTTTCAAATCATTTTATTTTATTATTCAGGAAACTTTCCTGTAGCTGTGTCCTAGACTGATCCAGCTGCCAGTTTTATATTACGCAGCCTACACTTCCCCCCCAAGTTTGATTATGAAAATGTTCATACATACAGCAAAGCTGACTTCTACAGTGAACACCTGTATACCTACTGCCTGCATAAATTCTATATTTTATTAAACTTGCTTTATCACCTGGATACCACCTGTATTCGTTATTTATTGCTGTATAACAAATTACCCCAAACTTAGTACTTTATTTAAAACAATAAACGTTTAGTATTCCGCACTGTTTCTGTGCATCAGGAATCCAGGAGTGGCTGGGTGGTTCTGGCTCAAGGTCCTGTGTGAGGCTGCAGTCTAAGACATTGGCTGGGGCTGCAGTCTTCTGTGCTTTGATTGAGCCTGGACAATCTGCCTCCAAGAGGTCTCGCCCACTTGGCTGTTGGCTTGAACCTTAAAGGATAGCCCAGGGCAGGGACAAATGGGTGTTGACAGTAAGTGACCTAGAAGTGATGAGAGTTGGGGAAATCAGGGAATTCCCAGGAGGTGGAATTTGCCATAGCGTCCCAGCCAGGGCACAGGTGCAGAAAGAGAAAGAGAGCATGACTCAGAGATACACATGGAGGGCAAAAAGGATTTCCGACAGAAAAGATAGATTACACTGGGGAGGTGGCTTTAATGGCTCCTAAAGGGAGGATGCCTCAGCTACTGAGATTGAAATTGTTGGACATGGTCATCAACATTAGAAAAACAGCAGCACTGAGATTTATTTTCCTGGTTACCTATATTTTTTTCACATATTTAATGTGTTAAACTGAGGTTGAAATATTGTGAATGGCCCCCACTTTTTAAAGCTTTGCCTTACTGGGAGATTTTTAAAAAAAAATCTCACGGCACATCTTCCTAATTTTTAAATTCGTATTCCTGTTCCTGACCCCAGAATAGGGCCAAACTAGACAACAGATCTGTGGGAATGTTCGGCTCTCCATAAACCCCAAGGACTCCCCCAACACAGAGGTGCAGTACCCACCTGGGCCAAGGAGGGAAGGTACAGGTGAGGAGGGTGCTTCTAAAAGGTATATGGAGCTGTTTGTTGAGGGCCATGAAGCTCTTGCACAGGGATGGGAGGAGACAACTCACCAGGGCTCTGGGTGGAGGCCAGCTGCCCTCCCTCTGGGCGACTGTGCACCCTCCCCACTCTCCCTGGGAGGCGGGCGCGTCCTTTGAAGTGCACCAGTGACCTGCCTGTCTCCTGGCTGCTTCCTGATGGCTTGCTCGCAGAAAGTGGGCTAGGGTCGGCTTGCCCAGAGGGGCGCATCCAGGTGAGGTTTGCCTTTTGGAACCAGCTAGGGAATGTCTTGGTGCTCCCTTGATTTGAAGGGGAGGACCATCCTTTATTGGCAAAGAACAGAGAGCAAACAATGAAAGGACCACAGTGGGCCAAGTCAATGACCCATGAATAAAGAATTCCAAGCTTTTAGTGCTGGAGAGCCTTCACTTAAAGATAAGAACGAAACATGAAGCCAAGGGACCGGACAACTAGTTCAAGGGCGGGCTAAGTAAGACGTGGAAGTCCTGGTTTTCTGTTACTAAGGGCTGCAGTTTATTTTATGCCTACTTTGTATGTGTTGGATTCTGTAGAGTGATACTTCACACAGTGCCAATTCATTATATTACACAGATAAAACAACATTACCTTTTTTTTTTTTTTTTTCAAAATAATAAAGGTTATATGGTACTTAAGGCATTAGCACTTGCCAGGTTCTGTTCTCCATTCCTTACAGATAGAAATCCTCTTTAATCTTCTAACAGACCTATGAGGTGAATACCATTACTTTCCCCATTTTATGGATGAGGAAACTGAGGCCCAAAGAGGTCAAGTTAACTTCTCCCAAGTAATGTGGTGATGTCTAAATAGTGAGTGATAGCATTGGGATTTAAGCCAAGTATGCTGACTTCCCAATCCACATTCTTAACCACACTATACCTTAATCGCCTGTGCAAACATTAGCACTGTTTACTGGCTTTTCAAAGCTTTCTGTTTTCCAGGCATGTGATGGGCTTGTGTTTCCTGGCCTCCTTGTGTTTTTGGAGCCATGTGACTACTTCTAGCCATGTTGAGAGAAGTATGCTATATCAATTTTGGGCTGAGTCGCTCAGTCACCAGTGTGTGACACTTCAGATCCCTCTTGCCCTCTGCTGTGGAGACTGGCAAAGCTCCAGATGGTGGTTGCTCTGTCAGTCTGGGCAAGTTGGAGAGGAAACAGCCTCAGCCAGCCCTAAGTGGATGTAGCATAAATGCAAAATCAACTTGTTATTTAGCTACTGAGATTTGGGGCTTGTTACCACAGCATAATTTAGCCTATCTTTAGTCACGTAATAATCTCTGATGTGCCTAACATTTTAAGGGGCACATTAGTAAATAGGTTGGGCACTTAAAAGTCTTTCCAAATAGTTTATTTTTTTTTAGCCTCATTGGGAAGCTTTCGTGTTCTTCCTTATATACAGAAAGCACCTGGTACTGTGGCAATCGCATAGAGCAGAGCTTGAGATGCAAAGTTCTGGTTTTTGGTCCTTATTTTTGTTAATTCGACAGCTTTATTGATATCTAGTTCACATACCATAAAATTTACTTAAAGCGTATAATTCTGTGGGTTTTGGTATATTCATAGAGTTGTGCAATAATCGTCACAATTAATTTTAGAAGACTTTCATCACCTTCAGAAGAAACCTGTACTTATTAGCAGTGACTCCCATTTCCCCCCAATCTCCCTGGCCCTCGTCTACTACTGATATAATTTGTGTCTCTATGTATTTGCCTTTTCTGGACATTTTATATAAATAGAATCATATGAAATATAAGTTCCACGAAGGATCTTTGCTTTGCTCTATGCTGTAACTCTGGCACCCTTCACAGTACCTGCACATAGTAGGTGCTCAGTGTTATATCTGTTGGGTAATTGAGTGGTTGCTGAAGGTTGGAGCAGAGAGCTAGATGGTGATGGCTGGTGTTGCTTAGCATTGCCCTGGACAGGTAATAAAGGGAGCGGTAGAATCACCTGCTGACATCTCCTCTTCATCCAGAGACTTCTGTGTCAGGGCTTATTATGAGGATACAATCATAGGCCCAGTGAAAGCAGCTGCCCTTGACATGGGGTTAGTCATCTATAAAACACTCCATTGCAAGGCTGAGGTCATGAAGGGGTACGAGTGGGCCCACCACAGCCCGATTCCTCTTCCTTCATAGACTCTTCCCAAATACTCACTTTTCTCAGGACCTCACTAGATTCCTTCTCCTCTCTGGTTCCTGGCTACCTGGCCAGAGCTATGGGTTGTAGCCATTTCTTAGAGGCACACCCTGAGGCATAGGGAGATTCCTGCTACTGCTCTGAGTAGTGCTGCAGCCATTCCTGGCTTGCTGGTCTGGATTTTCTACCCCTACCTGCAGACCCCAGCCTGGGTACCCTGTTTGCTTTAAGTACTCATCTTGCATTATTATTATTATTATTATTTTTTTTTTTTTTTTACAAAAATTACTAACTTAGTTTTTGGATCAAAACAGTGGTAAAATGGACATAAAGCCAAAAGTGAGAACAGAACATTTTCATATCCTCCCCACACTTGAAAACATACTTCCCATCAGCTGGGATTCAGGTGTTAGGGAGCCATAGCGCCTGCCAAATCCCTCTCTCTTCATCTTCCCTGGAAGCAAGGGGAGGAGGAAGTCAGAGACAATCTCAGTCCTTGTCTACCCATTCATCCCTCAAAATCTGTGGGTTGGAGTGAAGCAGAGAAGAAATAAGGGACAAGGGGGGCTAGCGACTGACCTCCAGGGCCCACTGACAATAATGTCCCATATAGCTATCCTTGTCCGTATCTCATCCCTAATAGGTACCATTGTCAGGCCTTGGGAGAGAGAGGAAAAGGGGGTGGATGGTTCGAGAACCAAATGTGGTCTCCAGACTCTTTCCCAGAGTCAGCAAAAGCCCTGGGGTGACCACTCCAGGACTCTGGGAGCCACTCCTTTTCCCTCCAGTCCAACCAGGAGGTGAAAAGAAATTCCTTGGGACACAGCATTCCAAGCCACTCTTAAATCTCCACATCGCTTTCCTTGTCATTGTCATGGTCTCCATCACAGAACTCATTGGGTGCCTCTGGCCTGCTATAGTTCTCCTCAGGACCCCTGTCCTCCGCGTTAGCCTCATCAGTCCTGTCATAGGTCAGGAGGTCTGCAGGCACGTCATGAATCTGGACACTAGGTGCATGGTTCAGCATCTTCAGGTTTTCAAAGATTGTCTGGCGGATCTGGTCCAGATACTGGCATGAGTTCTGATTCTCGATGCGGGTGCTGACATCTGGATGAAGTGTGAAGTCTGGGACAAAGTACTTGAAGTATTCACTATAGGGAAGCTCCTCACTAATGGCCTCTTCTCCCAGCAGCGATGTCTCATATGTCCAGCAGCGGGCAACATTTCGGACAGTATAACCACCACCACCCAGCACCAGTAGAGGGATATTGAAGCTCTTGACATATTCGACACATTCCCCATGCCCTCGGATGCTGAGGTTAAAGCAGCCCAATCGATCACAGCCCAGAGAGTCAGCTCCACACTGGAGCACAATGCATGTGGGTTGGTAGAAGTCCACTACCTGGTTGATAACTGGCTGGAAAAGGTATTTGTAACTCTGGTCATCAATGCCATCCCGCAGGGGCACATTCAGACAGTAGTAGTGGCCACTCTCTGCCCCGACTTCATACATGTCACCTGTGCCAGGGAAGAAGTAATTTCCCTATTTGTGGAAGAACACCGTTATGACCTGGTCAGTGAGGTAGAAAGCTTCCTGAACCCCGTCACCATGGTGGATGTCAATATCAATGTAAAGCACCTGAGGGTGGTACCTCAAACCTCTTGGCATGGTGCAGACCACCAGCCCAGTTAATGGCAATATCACAGATCTTGTTGTTCAGCTGGGTTGCTCCTTGCAGAGATGTTCCCATGTAACGTAAGCAGAACTCAAAGAGCCCGGAAAACACTGGGGATCATCTTATAGAGACCGTAATGCAGGACCAGGCTATGGGTCAATGCCAGGTGATGGGGCCTCATAGGGTGTCCAGCTCCGTAGTGGAAGTTGTGCACGTCAGGGTCGTAGAAATAGGCCACGGTCTTGGCCATGGCGCCAGCGGGAGCAGGCCCCGTGCCTCCACCGCCTGCTGCCAGCCCCTCCAATCTTGCATTATTTAAGACTATAAGGAGGCAAAGTAGTTGGTGGTTAAAGGCATAGTCTGTGGGGTCAGGCACTCTGAAGCTTCAGGGTCAGATCTGGCATTTATTAGCTGTGAACCTCTGGGTGAGTTACTGAACCTTTTTTAGCCTTTATTTCTAATCTGTAGAATGGGCATATGAATAGTAATATGAATAGATTTGTAAGGGTTACATAGAATAATGCATATAAAGTGCTTAGTGCAGTGCCTGGCCCAGGAAAATGTTTGCTATGGCTTTTGATATAATCTAATTTGGTCCTGATATTGTTGATGTCACTATTCCCTAGGGAACAAAAGAACTACATTTTTTCTGTTTCAGGATTGCCTTAATGATTTGCTAAATGATTTTGTGGCAAATAACTGAATTCCCGTGCTTGTCATCTTCTGAAAGGGAAGTCAAGGGAAATGAATAGAGAAATGTGGCCACAGCAGAGACCAAAGAACCTCAGAGTGTTTTTTTAATTTTTAAAAACATTAAATTTTTTTTTTTTTTTTTTGTAGATGAAGTCTCACTCTGTTGCCCAGGCTGGTCTTGAACTCCTGGGCTTAGGCGATCCTCCCACCTCGGCCCCCCAAACTGCTGGGATTACAGACCTCAGCCTCACAGTTTGGTCTTAGGTATGGTCCTGATTGTGGGTTACCTTGACTGTTCTTTGAGTCCTGGAGAAGTCAAGATGAAAGCAGTTACAAGGTCATATGATAAGCCTGTATGGGCCATGTAGGTAGACTTCCATGCATAGATGGTATAGAAAAGTAAAAATGATCTTCTACTTTGACCATTGTTACTCCCAACATAAACTTACAGCAATAGTCTTAAATGCCAGTAAATTCTGTATTTGTAAAACATCCAGTAGAGAGGTTGGGTCTCCTAATGAACAAAGGAAAGTTTGCAGTGTTAAGTGTTATACAGATATGTCATCGCACTCTATTCTCTCCACTCCCACATGAACTACCATGGGACAAATCTAAGCCACCTCTTGGTTTTGGTCTCAGAACAAGTGTCATTCTCCAAGTTGCGGGGCAGAGTTCAGTCATGGGTTTTTGGGATCCCATGCTGTCGTTGGGAGCCAGCTGTGCAGCCTGGAGTGTGGGGCTGTGGCCAGGGTGGGTACAGGGAGCAGCATCTGT